GAGAGTTTATATTTTTTTAGACTCTTGAGTGAGCACTATCACTCAGTTCCTAGAGTTTTGAGTAGTTTAGGCTGGAAGACATTTTTGGAATCATCTAGTATGATGCCCAGCTCGGAGTAGGGATCAGCTCTGACTTCGGTGCTCAAGAGGACATACAAATCTTGGATTTTGAAAGATCAGTATTTTTCATGTAAAATTTCTGCTGTTGTATATTAACTGTGTGGGGATATTGTAACTTTTGGATCTTACATAGAGATCTTAATTGAGGAACAAACCAAAGAGGGAGGGGTGACAAGACGGGTGGATGGAAGAGAAACCTTTTATTATTTTAACTTCTTACTGCCACTTAACTTCCAGTGCACTTGTCATTGGAGTGAAAGAGTAGACTATTCTGAGGAAAAAAAAAACCAAATAATGCATAATCATAAAAGCGTCCCCCAGATTCTAGTTCTAACTAACTGCTAGTTCTGCTAACTAGCAGCTTTAATAACTTGTATGATTTATGTCATTAAAATATAGATGTCTTTCAGTAAGTTACAATTTAAGTAAGGTTTAAGGGCCTTATGCTTCATTAAGAGGTCTTTGGAAATAATTTTTCTAGAAGAAACTTAATGAAATCACACTAGAACAGAGTAATAAATTCTAGTAAGAGGTACAGAAATGTCATACCTGTTTTCACAAATATATCATCTGTTAGAGAATAAAGTTCAGTTTTCATGTTAATGAAAAAAAGTGAGAATCAGCAGCATTGTTAACTACACTTTGCTCTACATACACAACCTAGATAAAGTGCTAATTAAACTATTAATTTTCAAGTTTATGGGGAAAGTGTTTTTTTTCTTGCTAAGGCATTTTTTAGATGCCATGTCTTAGCATTATTGTGGTTACTATACTATGAAAGGTAAGTAAATAGCTGCATGTTTTTCTGGCCACAAACCATTGAGAACTGTATGGTCTGCCATCATAATGATTCTGAGATATCTTGATTTTTTGCTGTTCTAAAATTTTCCTTGCCATATTTCATTCATACCATAATTTTTGACAGTTTTGTTACCATAAATATTGCATCACTTGGAGACAAGAAAAATTTTTGCTGGGTTAGCGCAATTGCAAGGGCTATTTTTAAGGAAAAAAGTAGCACTGGTTTGTCAGTTTAAAAAGTCACATTTATGACTATTTGTATTTTTACTTGCAGTGTGACCTGTATCAATTCTTAGGTGTTTTTCAAACTATTTAGTTTCATGGTTTTGTAGAACATTTAAAAATAGTGTTATATATTTAAAAAACTCAGAGGAATCATCTTGGCTGTTCTCTGTATATTTAGACTGCTGTATCAGTGGTGATAAGAGGTGTAAGAACACAGCACATGATACCTCAAATACTTTGGAAAACTGCTTTCAAGTACTTGGTAAAAAGGGGAGAATCTATACTATGTTAAATGTTAATACATATTTTGAAAACTTGAGTGTACTCATTATTTTGGTGTAGATCTACTTTTTACATCTGACATTAAAATTAGTTGGCATTGTGAGAAATACAATTTTTAATGTAATGTAATTAGTATAATCCTATAGTTGCCATCATAGCAGTTTTTCTAAAAGATTACTCAGATGCATTAGACCTTTTTGAAGGTTGTCTGCTTTAGTGAGTTCTGAAGTATTTTACAAGACTCCTGGCAACAAATAATTTGGAACGGTGTGAGTTGTGTAAACAGTGCTTTTACAATTGGACATTTTTTGTTTGCTGAGTTTGTCTTTTTAATGATGTTTTTTTTCTGATTTTCACAAAATTTAACTTATGCTTTTCTGCACATTCTTTGTCTTATGGCTTTCTTTTTTCTCTGTAATAGCATATCATCTATTTTTCTTGTTTTCTTCCTGTTAAGATTGTTTTCCCAGGTGTGGGTGACTTCAGAGGTTCCTAATCATTCTACATATTTCTCTCTTAAGAGTTTTGCCCTGTTCTCGTGCTGCTCAGTTTTAACTCCCTGTTGTGGGTAGTTATGGGTGGCTTTGGGGAAGGGGCTGAAGTAGGCTGTTACTGAACAGAAGAATGGGAAAGTCATATAGTGAGAAAAAGCAGCTTTGAGAAGGTAACATTATTGTTATTAAGCTCTGCAAAAGGCTTGAGTATCTGAAAATTAAATTCTCAGATAGGCTGGAATTACCAACCAGGAGTGGTTCATCTATTGTGTTTAACTGCCTGTTGGTATTCCTTTCTGTTATGTGTTGGGCAAAACCCATGGGACTAGTTGATCTAGCTTACCTGTAGTAACATGTATTTGCTCACATAGTAAAGAGCTGTCTAGGACCTGATTTGTGTGTGACAGGACTGAATGTTTGTTACCACACAGGACACCTCCAGATAGAATTTTTGACCATCTAATGACATAAATTATATGTACTGCAGGTTAATGTTTGAAATTGAGTATTTTCTCTGACAGGAAGTGTAAACTTGCTAATTCTGTGTTATGAGTACAGAAGAATTGTCCTGTGCTGAAAAGTCAAAGGAACGTGATATATTTTGTACATGCATCAGTTAGAAATAATTATAAGCTGCAGCAGCATCTTAATCTTGCAGACATGTTGATCAAGTAGTAGGCAGCAGAGACCTTAAGGCACATTTATGGGTCTTGATTTTATCCCTGAAATGTTTTTTATGTTGTAGTAATTCAACACGGAATTTAAAGCTAAAAAATGGCAAATAATTACCTAATGTTTTTTCTTACAAATGTTAAACTAGACTAAACATAAGTAGGTTCTACCCATCTTTGTACTTCAGTTAACTGAAGACTGCTATCATTTCAAGACGGGGAAAAATGGTTGATTGCTAGGAAGAAGACTAGTGTGTTTTTTAAAGAAAGTCTACATCAGAGCTTGCATATGCTTCTGTCCTTTACAAAGAAAACAATTTAAGTTCTAGTAACTAGTGCAGCCTTACAGCTCTGTACTTAGCATCCTTATCTAGCCGGTATAGTGCTTAGCCTCGCCTTATGGCACTTGTCACATTAAAAAAATACCAACCAACTTGCAGTTGAACCTGAGATGAATCAAGGAAGATTTGTGCCTACTGTAAAGTCTGGTCCTTTGCTTTGCAATGAAAAAGTTTCTCACAACTGTTCCAGGCATGCCTGCTTGTCACGCAAAGCATATAGGCATGCACCTATGCACAGAATCTGACTAGTGTAAACTGATAGCCACAGTGTTTCCCTATCCTTTTGGGCTAGGGACTGACAGTAGGGATCATATACCACTTTCCCTTCTGCTTCCTGATGTCAAGAATGAGGTGTACAAGCAGACTGATAATCAACATGGTTGTATGCTGATTTGTGACTAACTCATGTCAAGTTTATGGGTATGGTTGATCCCTGTGGGGCTGCTGATTTTACTTAAAATGTCAATTGATGCTGCTGTGAAAGGCCTGTCAGAGTAGCTGCATGTTCTCTAATAGATTTTTAATGTGGGTTCTAGGTTAGAGGAATAGATCTTCCTTAGTGTTCCATCAATGGCCTTTTTGGCTGGACTTTTAAGCCTCCCTGTGTCTTTTAGTTACCAGACCTTATTTTTCTGCTCCACATTAATGCATATTCTTTTGAAAACAGTGTGTACTCTTCTTATGTTAAGTAGTTTTTCTAGGTTAACATGAGTTATTACAAACAAAGTTGTTGACTTGAGAGCTCTTAATCATGTATCTCAGGGCAATTTCCTATAATAGGATATTTAGGTAAAACTGTTGGTTCTTTTCTGTCAGATAGTGGTGTCTGCTGCTTCAAGTGGCTGAAGATAGAAGACTCATGTTTGGCATCCCAAATATGATTGACCAAGCCAGACTTCTCTGAACCTGTACAAATGCAATGAATGTATTTTGATTTATTATTGTTTCCATGTAAAAGTTGCTTATAGACTGTTTTAGTTGCCTAGTATGTGGATTTCTTTTCAAAGTGCATATGAACTTAGGCCCTTAAATCATAAGTGGAATGACTTTTCACAATGAGGTAAATTGTTTCAATTTTCTTATTTTTAGCACATGTGTGTTTGTTTTCTCAAGAGCAGAATACTTGTTAATATTCCTGTAGAAAATTAAGGAGAATTTTTTTAATAAATGTCTTTAGGTTTTGTTTTGAATTGTGAATCTGTTTATATTTTTTTTTTTTATGTAAACAGTAATCCAAAAATCCCTTGGAATTGTCTCTGATAGAGTATTTTGTTTTCCCCTAAGTGATTTTTTTTTCCTCTTTGGGTATCCTTTGAGTGTTGTTTCACAGCAGGCCGGGATTCTTGTTCAGTAGTGTAAGAAATCTTTTGCTGTTGGGTGACTGACCATCAGTTGAATCTGGATCAGTTTGATGTGTTGTCTGTTTAGTTTAAATGCATGTTACAGTTTCTGGTGACACTATAGTTTTGTGCTGGTTTTAAAAGGATGGTCAGTATCTGAACTAACATCAATAGCAAAGTATAATTCATTAAAAAAATATATCTCCTTCAAATTAAATTAAAACTATTTGAACAATGATGAATTGGTAGGTTGAATTTATATACTGTAATATAATACATCAGAGCTTTGTTTTCAATCAACACAAATATTTTTGAGTCATGAAATCAGGTTGAGTATTATTGAACCACTTGGCCTTTAGGCAAGTATTGTAATAAGATCTGTTTGTTTACAGGTAAAATAGAAAAGTATTTATTAATTTAAAACACTCCATAAAGATGAATTCATTTGTGGTTGATCACATAACTATTTGAGAGCTTTAGACTGCTCATAAATGAAACTTGGGATATTTAATCTTTATTATGCAAAAATGTACAGCATTGTTACATTGAACTTATTCATCCCTTTGATGTTATAAAAACCAGGAGTGTAATTAATGTCTTTCCTTGCACTGTTTTTAATCAATGGAAACTTTTGAAACTGTAACATTTTTATTTTCATGGAGTAAATAGGAATGTTTTAAGTTCTAAGAATGATAGGTTGACCATGAAAACTATGTTTACTTTCAGAGAGAACAGGAAATGAGAATGGGTGATATGGGTCCTCGTGGAGCAATAAACATGGGAGGTAGGGATCTGAAGGAAAAAGGCTTCTCTAATGTAAAGTTTTTTTTCTTTGGGACTGTACATATTACTCAAGCACTATTAAATAGTGACAACTGGTAAAAAAAGGAGTAAGCAATATTAGGAAATAAGGAACCCCAACATATATTTTGCTTTCAAGCAGCCCCTGCCCCCCTCCCTGTATCTTTATTTTACTCCTTTAACTACATGGCAAAAAAATAATGTGCAAGTTAAGGGAAACAAAAATAAGGGACAAGTGATGCTCTGGGAGTTATCTGCTACAAAAGAAGAATTTTATGTTAAAAAAATATTTGGCATTATTTTGGAGGGACCACCTATTTGAAGAAATTATGACTGCAATTGTATGTAAATGATATAGAGGTCAAAACTGGCAACTTCTACATATATATACTTGGTGTGGTAAATGAATAATGTGCTTGGTGTTCCACCTGTTTCCTCCAAGTCTCTTATTTGCAAATATTCTCTGTTAGCTTTTGCAACTTAAAATACTGTCACTGCGAAAATCTATTACTGTGTAATCTACTACTAAAAACTAGTACCGTGTAATAGAAAAGTATAATAATTAGTGCTTGCTCCATGTATGCAAACTGGAACAGTTTGGAATTTACTTACCCAGAATATCTGCTTTTAAACAAGACTGAAACTTGAAATATTTCTTCAAAACCACCAAATCTAACTAAACTGTGTGAACTGTTAATCTATTGGAAGCTTCCTAATGGTAATTTAAAATAAATTTAGGTGGTAATTAAAAGAAAAGTAATAAAACTATTTTCCCATATATTTTAAAATTGAAAGTGCATACAAAACTCAGTAATTTCACTTGAACTTTTGAGTAATGTAAATTTATAGAGTAAGAAATCTGCTTCAGATTTTGAAACACATTATTCACAATTTCCTTGGATTTATTGAGACACATTTGTAGCTGAAAAATAGAAATAGGCTTGTGCTTTCAGGGATGATGAAAATTATTTACAAATAATTCTGAAGAAGGACACCGTTAAATTATCTATAGCTATTAAGCTGAAGCATAAATTGAGGCTTAATTTCCTTATTTTATAGTTGTACTTCTGCATATGGTTTCATCATACTTGAAAATTCCATTTAATTAGAAGACTTAGTAAATATTGATACTGTGTCAGTTGTCCAGATCCACAAAATACACTTTCTACATGGAGATTTAAAATGTTTATTTACTGCAGTTCTTAGTAGTGTTGTTACTGGTCTTGCTAAGTTTTATGTTACAACTTGATTTTAAACTTAATACTTTTAGAATACATTGTATCATCCCAAAAAAAAAAAAAGTTATAGTAACACTGAACTGCTACTTTATCCATAGCAAATAAGTGTAGCATTTATTTCTGCAGAGGCTGGATTTTACATTCACTCGTTACAGAGATTTGGGGTTTTCTAGTGTATTAAGTCCATTCGTACAACCAAAATAATTGACCCCAGAACCTTACAGTAGACCTTTAAATAGTAGAATTTTAGTTGTTGACAGTAGCATCCTTTCTTAATATTTCTGTTGGAATTGTAACCTTATTTTTAACTTAGCCTGTGCTATTAGTGACTTTTTATAAGGTGGGACAGAGGGAGCTGTCCAATTTCCAATAACTGAAATACCTGAATGATAATTTTCTTAGAAAGCAGAGTACCTCTGTGACGGATTTAATAAGTGCTGACATGTGCAGAACTGCTCATTTTTACAGCTTTCTGTGACAAGCAAGTTCTGAGAGACGTATGTATACCTCATCAGAGCATTTAATTGGATCTTTAGTGCTATGTTCAGATTATAAGCTTAAATATGGAAAAAAAGGGGCTTTTTTGGGGAACTGTCTCAGCATTCATGAAGATTATTGACTTTATTGTTTCTGCATTTCAGACATTTAGAGTGGACTTTTTCAGCCCTTCAGTTTGCAGAAAAGGACTTTTTTTTAGTGTCTGCATTGTAGCATGAACACTAATGACTACTTTCCATCTGTTGCTGAACACAGTCCTGTAAATGAATTCCTCACATCAGTGCCCAACCAAAAAGAAAGGACAATCAAGTGGTTAGCTCTCAAGGTCTGCTTTAGAGATAGGAGGATTTTGGAAGACCTCTGAGTTACAGCTAATCTATTATAGTGGCCTTTTGCTGAAAGTATGCAGGGCCCCTCTTTCTCCTTGCATTATACTCTGTAGTTTTGCTCCTTTCAAATCTGACTCTGCCTGAAACAGGATCAGAATTCTAGAGGTTTGATAGTATGAGTTGCTGTCTGCCACCCTGGTTATCATTTGTATGATATGGAGCATGAGACTTTATGGAAGTTGACAGGGAGCCAGTGAGTACCTGGCTCAGTTTAATTAGGCTGATAAGCAAACCAATAGCAAGTAATTAAGCATTTAGTTAATGACGCTACTACATGCACTAAGTGCTCTTACCATCATGATAGTCCTGCAGAGTGCCTCTAGACTCTGAGAATAAAGGTTTCTCCTTATATTGGCAGTTTAGACTTCTTTTCCAACTGAATGGGTGACAGTAAAAAGCTGTTTTAGACATATGCTACTTTAATTTTCTTGAATTGTAGCCCAGTCTTCTACCTGGTACATGAGCTGACAATGTGTATGGATTGGTAAGAAGCATCCAACATGAGTGTACCTTTGTTTTGACTTAATGTTATAGGGAGAGGTCTAGGAGTTCCTTTTTTACTAAGCTCAAAGACTTCTTTTCAAAATTACAGAATTTCTGTCACTTGTAGTAAACCTGTTTAGCACTTCTTATGTGCTGCTATGTAGCATGCATTGTTTTTTGCTGAGTTTGTGATTGGCCTAATGTATATATGATCAAAACCAAGTCTTCAATTTTAGCAACAATGTCTTGAATGCCATGGTTTCACTGGTTGCTGTGACATGGTGTTCTCGAGGCAAATAATTGAGATGTAATTGTGCATGCCTGCAGATAGTCTCACAGTACTGTATCTGTGCGAAGTGGGCTCCTTTGAATGATGTGCATTTATATATTCATTATTAAAAAAGTGCAGTTGTGGTGAGAAGTGAGAGGGTTTATCTTTAAAATATGAACAACAGGCTTATTAGTCTAGCAACATGTCAGATTTCTTTATATTATGAAAGTATATACTTAAAGTGTACACTAAATGTCGAAGGTATTCTTTCTTCCATTATCAAAATTTGGATGCATACTTTTTGCTGAAGAGGATGGATTTTTGTGGGGAATGGGAGGAATGCATCACCACCAGCCTTGAAGTTGATATTTCTTAATAGTAAGGTGTGGGGTAGATAATCAGACTGTTTTCTCAAAGCAACACACAAAACTATTATGAGGGCATTTTTACCTATGTGTTCAGTACGTTATTGAGTACTGATGCAGAGTGATGCTTCTTAGTGTAATATTACAGCTAAATTATCTACTCAGAATATGTTTTCAGGATTTTCTTTTACCTCTTTTGTTCAGACATTTGGAGCAGATTGTTGTGTCATTTCTAGTTCTAACAAAACTACTTAGTTTTCTTGTACTTATACCATAAGAAATTACAACTAAATGCAAGATTTTATTTATTCCATATTGCAAATAATTTATTATGAAGTTGAGTACCATCTCTGTTATTGCTGTTAGACTGTAGACTAATCTACTGTACACTATATCAATTAACATATTACTGGTAGAAGACTTCTTGCAAATGTACATTTTATCTGTTATGATCCCTAAAGGGCCAAGTTGTCTTACAGCTGCCAATATCTGTAAAATCACTTGAGATTTTTGCAAATTTGTGGTGTGCATACTCTATATAGATGCAATATGAAGATTTTCATTCCTGCACAGAAACTCTACAGTGATATTTAGCTGTAAAGACTGGGATTTTCAATTACATGAGGCAAATTGTGTAATGCAGATTGATAGAGATTATTTAAAATCTGTTTAAAAGCAGATGATTGAGATAAATGTACAGTCTCAAAGAACATTTTTTCAAGTATTTGAAGTCTTGTACATTTGGCTTTTTAAATATTGTAAATTGTTTGTTTGTTCTTGTAAAATTAAGATAGGACAGCTCTAAGTATAGATTGTTTTGCATAGATGCGTTTAGCCCAGCACCTGCTGGTAACCAAGGCCCTCCTCCAATGATGGGTATGAATATGAACAACAGAGGAACTTTACCTGGCCCTGCAATGGGTCCTGGTCCTTCCATGGGACCAGAAGGAGCTGCAAATATGGGAACACCAATGATGCCAGATAATGGAACAGTGGTAATGTATCACAAATTTAATTCTTTTAAATAGCTGTCATGTCTCATGGCCCATTTTTCTTACCAAAGGTATTTTCACGCTGAGTAAGTATGTGTTCCATGTTTTGGATCTGTTAAAAGTAATTGATAAAACAAACCTTTTCATGCAAATAATTTGCAACCCAAATGAGAAATTTTTTTTTATATTACTGTGAAAATCCTACATCCCTTAGGAATGAAAATCTCTAAATTTAGACTTTTGCTGTTATTTTCTTTAGTAAAACTAAATCTTCTGATTTAGCTTGTTGGGGTTTTTGATGAACAGTTAAATGTTGGAAGATGCAAAGTGTGAAGATATCTTTGTGTAAACAAATTAATTTTTAAAAGCAACTTTAGTGTTCTTTGTATTTCTTTTCTAACACTGTTAAACGCATGAGATTGACAGTAATTGTGCCACTTAGAAAATCAGTAGCCAACAGTTATTGGTAACTGTTATATCAATACAGGAAAGATAATACTGCCCAGTTGCCACGGTCATAGGGGAATGTCTTTTATGTCTGGGATTTTTAATCAAGAGCAAATAGGCCATTGGGATGCAGTTAAAGCATTAGCCATTCTTGCTTTGTTCTCATAGCCAGTCACATTTCCTAGCTGTAATGTCTTATGTAGAGAAACAACTATATAATTTGAAATCTGACTTTTATATATTTTTTCAGTACTCCTCTGTTACTAGGTTAGTGGTGGTGTTGATATAAAGGAATATATAGTCTTAACAGTTATTCTGTTACAGTTTTATTAGAACACAGAAGCATTTTGTAGCTGTGTTTTTTTAGATAGACCTTCTCACCAGTATCTGTGATTGAGCCATCTGTATAGTGAAGTTAAAACAAAATCCTTTGTTCCATAGAAGAAAAGGAGGTTTCAGTTTTGCACAAAATGCACTGTGGGTCTGGTCTTTACCAGGTAAAAAGGAGAGGTCTTATTTCACATCACAGGAGCCAGCTTATTTTATCAGTTGTGTCATTTTTCACAAAGTGGGGAGGATGCTATTTACAAAATACTGAATTGGGAAATTTTTGCTGGAGACCACTGTATTACTGGTCACCTTGAGAACCTTGTCTTGTGATTATATAGACACTGAAAAAAAGGTGTGTGGAAAAGAATGTGGTATCATAAATCACAGTATCTAACTTAAACTGTTGTTTTTCTACAAAAAGTCATTCCAGGTATGGAAATGTAGGAAATATACTGACACTTCAAAATGCATGTTTAAAAAAAAAAAAAATCTTTTTCCTTTCATTTTCTTATGCATGCTTCTGAAAGACAAATTAGATTTTAGTTTTTTCTTCGTTTTGGTCTTTGAAGGTTTTTAACTTGGGAGGTCAGGCCCCTACAGAAAGGCATAGCTTTATTGTATTATTGCTGTTGTTAGAAAGATACTTTAAAGATCCTTTGAAGGCTATCTACTAGAACACTGTAGCAGTTTTTTTTCCACTGAGGGAAATTAAGAATATGCTTTATAAATTACAAATTTAAAAATTTAATGTTTTTAATTGGATCTTCTTCTGAAGTCTTGAAGGGAAAGTTATATCAATCTCCCTTTTGTTTCACTGAAGTCTTTTGAAACCTGGATTGTCTTTGAACATAACATTTTAAAGGTAGCTTCCCCCACTTACTAATGTAGGTAGTTAATTACAGCAGTTTTCTTGATAGCTGGAAAGAGGGGTCCTTATTGGAAAGAGGACTTGACTTTTTGTCCAAAAGTCTAATGGTAAAAGGGGTCAGGAGTATGTGGTAACTTAGTTGCTGAAATTCATATCCATTGCTAACATGCTGGCATGCATTAAGATAAATTTAAAACAGTTTTTACCCAGTGCTACAGATTTAAAGGTGCTTTAGCTCAGTAATAGATCTTTATGCAGCTGTTGAAGTAACCTTTTTCATATACAGTGTTGCACTTGAAATAATGCACATATGTACAGCCATGATCTACATGATCTAGGTTGCATGTACTTCTATCTATATAGATAAAATGCTGGGGTTTTTGTTATCTATACATACATATGTACATATATATATATATATATATATATATATATACATGAATTAGCAGACTCCAGAGCTGCTGAGCTCTACTACTATTACTAGAGTTAAACTTTCAGAAGAATTCTTTCTGATTCAGGCATAAGTGCTGGTCTTAAATGTCCTTATTGAACTCTGAATACCTGGGGATTTGATGTAGATCTCTGTACAGAAGGGATTTCTTCTGAAAGCATAACTGTCCTTAACTGGTGAATGATGAGTTATGAGTTACGCATCTGACTGTACCATGTTTATGCCTTTAATGGTTTATATGGAGTTTAAATTTCTCCATGTGGGGTTCTGCTTTTAAACAGTTGCATAAATACTGAACTGTAAGTGCTCAGATGGATGTTTTTTTTCTTAGAAATTAAGCAAATAAATCTGTATAAAGATATATACCTTTATTAATAAGAACTAAGAAAAGTAAGTATGGAATACTATTTGGATTTTTGTCTCACACTGGTATTTCAGAATGAGCCGTAGTTATGTACAGAGTTTTGTATAAACTAGGAAAAGTTCAAAAATTACGCATTTCCTCACTAATGTAGTTTTGTTTGGACAGAATTTCAGAATTTTACAAGCCTTAACTAAAAATCTCTTAAGTCCTTGAAAGTATTTCAAAGATCTCTTAAGTCATACAGAAGGCTAACTGCAGGTAGTGTGGACTTGAAATATCCATAGGCATGTGGGTATAGAAGTCTTAAGGTTATTAAAACAATAAATGCTGTTTCTAGAAATAAAAAGCTCCTCCCATCCTAGTTTGACAATGTTTCTCTAATTTATTTAAGGGAGAAGCATTGTAGTTGGTATGTAAGGTACGATAGGGCTCAGATATAAAACTGTTTGCTGTCTCCTCTGTTACATAGAGAATATGTATTGCTTCAGATGTACCTGTAAGGATGAAGTTAAGGATGAAGTTACATTCAGCACCAGAGTCGGTCTTAAGTATTGTTTTTAATTTTTAATTTACTTTACAAAGTTGGAGCATTACATTAGTACGCTTTAATTTCCAGCTCTTTTTCCGTAATAACTAATTGAATTGCTCCTTTCTTCCTTCTATGTGTGATCCTGATTCTGCTGGACTATCTGCTGAACTTCATGACAACATCACTTGTGGTTTTTGTTGTAACTCACATTTGGCATGTTCCAAATGGACTTGTGCTAGCATAATGAGAGATTCCCTCAAGGAGGCCCATCCCAGATGGGTTCACCTCTGGTTAGTAGAACGGGCTCTGAAACTCCTCAGCCGCCAATGAGTGGTGTAGGTGCCGTGAGTGGTGGACCTGGTGGCTTTGGTAGAGGAAATCCAGGGGGCAACTTTGAAGGACCTAACAAGCGTCGCAGATACTAAATCTTAATTCATTCCTTACTGTTTTAGAAATTCCAGTACAAGTATACAGTGATATGCCTTTATAATTTTAGCTGTTATCTGGAAACGGTTCTATTGTTATTGTAGTCTTTAAAACAGTTTCTTTTGTAAAACTTTTTTTGTATTCAGTCATAGGCTTTGTAGCATAGAGCAGAAATGATGCGGATCATTATGTAAGGCAATGTGTTTGTGACTCTAGCAAAATGCAATGTGTGACTATGCTGTAAAACGTGCGGTTATCTGATTACAATAAAACAAAAATCACTGGAAAGGATTTTGGGAATGTTATTACTAATACTGAGTAAGAATAATTTTATGCTTAATTATAAGTGGCATCATTTTCATTTTTATGTAGTTTCTACTATGTTTCAAGAAAGTTCCACTCTTAATAGTGTTTAGCTGAACTGCATGGTGCAGTACATACTGTGAAAAACTTAAAATACAACTGCTTTTATTTTGACTTTCAAAGAGCGTAAATTTTTATACAAAGTGTTCTCCAAGATGCTGTGTCCTTGCATCTCAATCCACCATTGCAAACTTAGTCACAGTAGGCTTATCAACAGAGATTATCTGTCAGACAAATTGTTAGAAAATTTAACTTGGGGAGGGAAAAAACCAACTTGGGAAAGGAATCTCTGTGTATGCTATATTCATAACAGTATGAGTGAATTTACCTAAACCATATTTATGGAGGAAGAAAATTGGTTGCAACATCTTTGTGTTCTGCTGATGGTTAAAGTATCTCCCACTGCAAGGAAGGAGACATTTCTGCCTGCTGGTCGAAAGCTTTCCTCTGTGTTTGCACATCATTATTAATAAGTATACATTTTCCCTAGTGGTTGGTTTGAATAAAAACATGTCTGTTATCAATGTGTAACTGTTTAATTAGGAAACAAATACATGTTTTCCAGTGGAAATAAGTGTTCACTTGTAGTTGAATAATATGTATTTAGAAGGATTGCACATGAGTATTCTTCAAAAAGGTTTTACAGAACAATGAATTTGGAAAATGTCCATTTACAGCACAACTCAGGGTAAATTTGCTGATTGAGTTTTAAGATAAAACTGGTAGTAAAGCTATTAGGAAGCTTATTATGATTTTGTTTTGTCAGTCTTGGAAGATGATGGAAAAGACCTATTGGTTCTATTCCTGTAATGACAAATAAGTAGGGATATTGGTTGGTTACAATTACTCTTTTTCCTGTGCAAAATAGTTGTAAAATAGTGCTGTTCTTCTTTATCAGTTCACATATATTTTCAGATGTAGCTATAAATTTTATCTGTATGAATTGTGATGCTATATTGGTTAAAAACTGATTTGAAATAACCTGGTGCCCTAATAACATCCAGATGGTATATACATAGTTCAGCATGGGATGAAAGCAGCAGTGAGGATTTGTGTGTTACTTGTTAAATGTGGCGGTGATTGGCTTGGTGGATTGAATTTTGAGCAAATGGTTAACAAGAAAAGTGCAATATTGCTGGCATTTTGGAAATACTCTGTTACTTAAATTGCCTGTGTTAAGATACTGTTTTCATACAATTCAGGAGTTATCTTAGTGTATCTAAGTATGTAGGTCCTCACTTGTGACATCTCTACCTGCTAAGCATTTTCCTTTAGGTTGTCTTTAATGTTGCCATTTTTTGCTTGACTTAATACATGCCACATTTTGTAATACAATATTGAGTTACCTTTAGTCTGGAATACTCTTTCCCCTTGGTATATGTATCACATTATAGCACTCATTCTTAAAGTAACCATCAACCGAACTGAAAATTGTTTTCCTTTACACACTGGTCCTAAACCTCAAGATTTGGGAAAATTACTTTTTTTTTCACTGCTATAAACTAGTGTTTGCATATGGCAACTAGTTAAGCTCTCTGCTCTAGTGTCCTTTATGGAGCTGAAAATGCAGTTTACATTGGTATCTAGTAAGGTATCCAAATATGAGGTTACTTTTTTTCTAATATTTTCTGCCTTTGTACATGACTTTTTTTAGGGGATTGAGGAAGTATTCGGTGTGAATTGGTAGTTCTCAACTGTAAAGCTGTACAGGGAACATGTTTTAAATACAAATTAAATTAGATTCAAAAGATTGGTTCGTCTTCTTCAAAGGAATAGGCTGTGTTGTTCAGGCCTTTTAGGTAGCTCCTGTATTTGTTTAGCTATGTAAGCCCTCTTCCTTGTAGTGTCTGAGTATGTTTCAGAAGAACATTACATATACTGAATCTACAGAAGTAATTCATACTTTCCATGCCAGCTTCATGCTATTTTAAGTGCATATTTGTTTCACTGTATTTTTGGTAGCAAGTGGAGGTATGCGTGTATTTGAAAGTTATTGTAGATTTTATTTAACATTGGTGATTGTCATTCCACAGTTTTGACCTACCCTTCCTGTAATCCTCTGACTTGGATGGCTCTGCTGCATAGTAGCAGTGGATTTGTCAGCTGTCCATACTGCAGAAAATAATCTATTTTTAAATGTCCATGAACCAAGTCCTAACAAATACTGAAGTGTATTTTTGGGCAGATTTTAAGGAGTTAATGAAGTATGCCTTTTGTAGCTGATGACATGCTGCTAAGTTCAGCTTTTAAAAGTTTTCTTTGGGCTTCTTGGCTTAACTCTAAAGGCAGTGCTTCTCATTCTGCCAAATGTGGTAGTAACTGATCTAGCTATACAATAAATGCCTAATTTTGTTAAAAAAGGAATAGTCCCAAATTGTTTCTCAAAAATGTGTAGATGTGGCCAACCAGTGTTTGCTTGAAGGTTCTGCCCTTCTGCTAAAGTGATTAATTTTTCTTGATCCTCATCTGGTGAAGCAGTTTATAATTTTTACTGTGTACACATGTACTCAAATTTTTAACTACATTTGCACTGTTTGACTGGAAAGCACAGTGAAGTCCTGACACTCTGCTATATGCTATGCTGAAACAAGTAGGCTTGGAATATATGTGAATCTGCCTACTACAATGCACTTACTTTTGTAATGTACTTACTGAGCTTTTACATTATTCTGGAAGTTTCATATTCCTAAAATATCTAATTTTCCTGTGAGATGCAATTTTGGTATTTAAGGATAACAAAGCTTTAGTACTCCATTTAAGTTCTTACCAATTTGCTCATTAGATAAAGCACGTTGACATCTTGGGAATCTTCATGGCGATTCTAATATACTTTACTGTATTTATTTCCTAAGAAAATTGTGAACTACTGTGGATTACCTAGAAAGAAGATTCCTGGTGTGCAGTTGTTTTATTTGTTCTCCACATTTTTTATGCAGTTGTACATAAAGATATAATAAACTGGAGATTCTTACTAGAACAAAATTTAAAAGAGATGTCAAGAAGACAGTATGAACTAAATACTTAATTTTAAGCATAAACCAGTAGGATTTTATAATACGCATTCTTTGAGGAGCATTTGATGTAAAGTATGCTGCTACATTCACCAAATTAATTTCCCTTTCTTCCACTCTTTATTTCAGATATACAATAGTTTGTAATTACAAATACTTTGAAAGGTACTAAACACAAACACAGTGACATCTATGAACTGTGTCTTGCTGAACAGTTGTAATCTACCTTGAGATAACTTGGGTCAAAAATGCTGAAACAACCAATCTAAAGGTAGATTCTCAAATGAAAACCAAAACCCTGTAGGCCTTTTTGGAGGGATAAAATATGCTTGGAGGTGAGATGTTCAGCAATTAATTAACTGGTATGCTCTGGTAGCATGAAGTTCATTTTAGTTAATGTTGCAGAAACAAATTTTTTTGTATACTTCCTAATTTATCTATTTTTATAAGAAGTTGGATCATAATTTTCCCTTCCTAAGTCAAACTTAAGTGTAATTGAATTACTAAAATAGCACAGAATGCAGGGTAGCAACTAGAGCCAGTTTATGTTGGACCACAGATGTGAAGGCATTCTAAATCTCATTCCCAAGACTTGAAATGTTGCATATCCATGGAGAGTTTTAGTCTGCATGCAGCATCTTTTGTTAGCTTGTGCTTGTGGCCAGGAATGGGGGACTTCAGAGAACACATACTTCCAATGCAATCTTAATTGTCTTCTCAGGAGCCCTCAAATTATTAACGTAATAATAATAATTATTAACATAAATAACAGCACTGTGCTGTTATTAAGGTGCTTATCTTGGAGTTTGTTGCTTTCCATGGGCTGTTAACTCACTCCTACCATGAGGGAATATAAGTCCAAACTTTCCTGACTCATCAGTGGTAAGGAGGGAATAAGTGTGGCCTATGAGAAATGCAAATCCAGTACTTTAGATTATTGGCTACTCAGTGCTAGTTTGGTGGCAAATGTTGAACTGTAGTAACCTGAAAGCATTTGCTTTCTTAAAAATTCACTTACTGAAATTTAAGAACTTGGTAACAATAAAAGGATTGACTAAAAATTTTGACTACCTAATGTCAAATATATTTTTTCCCATTGGATTGTTTTTATGTTACCTTTTGTTACATTTCCAGATATACTGTAAAGTAGTTTTATCAATCTCAATAGTTTAGTGTGTTTTGTTGATAGTTTTGAGTGCCTTCCCAAAAAGTATTTTAAAAATCATAGTTGTAGGCATTTCAGGTGTGTTTTCACAGTAATCCATGAAATACTGAAGCTAGTTATAAAATTGTCTAAAATGTTACTTGTAGAATAAATAAACTGAACACGACATTTTCATGAAAACAGTACTTTTGTGGTTTTAAATGCATGGGAACAAACCCTCAATGTGTTAATTGTCAGTGGAATAGATTTTAATAGGTCTTTTCCATCTTGAACTTCCTTAAGATACTATGAAAGTTAATATAATTGAAATTTGGAGGCATCCTTATTAATGATCTTAGCCTCACTTTTAAAAGCAGTGAGAGACGTTTCTTCTATTTGGAACAGCAGCCCTTTTTTCCTAGTTAAAGGAGCTTTTCAGAAAACCATTCAGAGATAAGCACAACAGACTTACAGGTAAAACTATTAAAAAGACCCTCTGCTCTAATGTAATGATTATTATACACACAAATCACATTGAAAGAAAAAAAGCAACTTTGTTAATGTGGGTAAAAGCTCCAGTGATTTATATGTTGTCCCTTGAGTGTAGAATAAAATACTCATAATAACAGGTATGAGATTCAAAAGGAATTGGATTGTGTTCTTACATACACATGTGGATAAGGTTTTTCTGTTTGTTTAGGTAAATTATTTGTCTAGAGCTTCCATTGTATCTAGATTTACTAGTGTGCTTTTATGTCTCAATTTCTGTAGAGTAAAGCATAGCTGTATAATTTGATTGATTTTACATGCTAATTGTATGCGGGACATTAAGTGCTTGACTTGAAAGAATTGCAGTGAGAATGAAGATACTGTTCTTGACTTTAAGTAAAAACTTC